TGCAGTACTTGAAATTGAACTAGACTTTCTCCACTATGAGCAACTATAAAATTAGAGGAGGTATCTCTTGTACTAAACAGCACAAGACTGCAATAACTAAGTAACGGAAAATGCATGAGGTCAGCCTCATGATCACCCTGACTTTCAGCAAAAGGTTAATTTCCCACCTGCAACACAGCAGCTAGACTCTGAAAAGAGCCTGAAAGTTCTGCTGAACTGAGAACAGATCAGTTTGGGCAGATAAAGTAGTTAGAATCAGTAATCAGGGGACCGGAGAGAAGGAGTAAGTGCAGGGTAAGGAAGCGGTGAGAAAAGGCAGAAATCTGAAACAGAAATCCAAGAGTCTTTGGCTGAGAGTTAGGCTGCACAAGCAAAGGGTGATACTCCCTCAAGTTTACAAGAATGGCTGTTATGGAACTAAGACATACCTGAGGTTGAGGAGTTCTAGACAAAACTTAAAAAGTTCTAGACATACCTGAGAAGGATTGTGGAGTTCTAGACAAAATTAAAGAAGTAGTCACATGAAACAGATAAAAAAGACAACTTGAAGGGGCTCCCACTAGCCAAATCTAGAACAATTTGAGGTCAATATAATGGGACTCCATGAATACATGCTGATATAAATAGATATATTCAACTGATCTTCATTATTTGCAGATTCTGTATTTGTGAATTTGTATACCCACTAAACTTTATTTGCAATGCCGAAATCAATGTGGCACTTTCATTGTCTATTTTGGCTATGCACAGAGTGGTGAAACATTTGAATAGCTACTAGATGTGGTCCAGCAGGGAGATTATGTTGCCTTTTTGTTTCAGCTATCATACTATAAACAAGTGTCCTTTAGGCAGTCTATTTAGTGTAGATTTTCTACATTTCTGTTGATAATTTCACTGTTAAAATAGCCCTTAAGTGTACTGCTTAAGTACTACTACTTCTGAACTAAGAAGGCTGTGACTTGTCTTACAGAGAAAATAAGCTGTTAGGTGAGCTTCGTTCAGGCATGAATCATAGTGATGCTGGCAGTAAGTTCAATGTCGATGCAGCAACAATATGGTTGATAAAAGAAAAATAGGAAAGTTGGCATGTATGTCAGGCTGCTGCAAAAGCACTAAGGTAATACCTATATAGTACGTGATCAAACTATAGAAAACGTGAACAAGTGCCTAAATTTGTGTTTTCATGCGATGACAGCGAATGATAAAAGCATAGTGAACATTTTGTGAGACTGAAATCTAAAGAAATTTAAGGTCACCTTACCCAGGGGCAAGAAAATGTTAAACTCTTCTTGGCTAGGATTTTATTATATAAAAATACTGATAGTTAATTATTTGCAAGAACTCTGTTAAATAAAGTATCTTAAACAGAAACACACATATTCATAAATTTAATGTTTGTGACTACTTTATAGAGCATAATTACTGTAAACAATGAGAATTGACTACCAAGTTGAATATTAATGAGAAACCGAATTTTTGATAATTTCAAAGTGCCTCTCACTAAATATTTACTGATACATTCTAGAAGGAAAATGAGTAATTCTACAGTAAAGAAATCTTGCAGACATTCCCTGAACCAAGTAATCGGAGTTAACATCACCAATTATGGAACAAATCTAAATCACATGCTACCTGAAAGGGTGCAATGAGAACACATCACTTTTATGGTATTTCTGCCTAAGCTGTAACTTGAATCTAATTATGAATAAACATCAAACAAATCCAAGATGAGGACATTTTTCAAAATAATTAGCCTATAAGGAGCCCTGGTAGTGTGGTAGTTACAAGTTGGGCTACAAACCACAAGGTCAGCAGTTCAAGTCTACTAGTCACTCTGCAGGAGAAAGATGAGGCTTTCTGCTTCCGTAGAAATTTATAGTTTCGGAAACGCTATACAGGGTTGCTATGAGTCAGAACTGACTTCATGGCACAAACCACCAATTATCAAAAGCATCAAGATCTTGAAAGTCAAAAAACAGGAAACATTCCAGATTTAAGATTAAAAGGCACGACACCCAAATGAATGATTTGGAACGAGATTCTTTTGCTACAAAGGACATGGGACAATTGGGTCTCAGATTGCTCATCTGTAAAATCATGAGGTTAAATAAGATCTATTGCTCCAAAAAGAAGTTTGTGTAAGTACAAATAAATAAAAATATAGATCTAACAATCTTTAAATAGATAAATGATTTCTAGTGGAAGTCTAATCATACTGCTAAAGGTTACCAGAAACATTCAGATGCCTTAACCCAAATTAAAGCAAATTTAGGTCTTATAAGAAAAAGTACTAGTGAAAAACATGTTAAAACAATAATGAAGAAAGTTAAAACGTCGTGAAAAAAACAAAAAAAGAAAAGACCAAAATGGATGTCAGAGGAGAGTCAAAATTGCTCTTGAACAGTAGTTAAAGCTAACAAAAAAACTGATGAAGTATAAAAAGCTGAACAGAAAACTTCAAAGGGTGACATAATAAGAGCAAGTATTATAATGAAATGTTCAAAGACTGGAGTTAGAAAACCAAAAGGGAAGAATTTCTGAAGCTTAAAAACTTAAAGAAAAAAATGTAAGCCCCATATTGCAATATTAAGAGGACTCTATGGACAAAATGTTCAACAATGTAGAAAGCATCAAAAGAATATGAGAGAGATACAGTCACTGTACCAAAAAGAACGGGATGACATTCAACCATTTCAGGAGGTAGCACATGATCAAGAACCAATAGTACTAAGGTCAGAAGTCCAAGCTACATTAAAGACATTAGCATCAAACAAGGATTTGATGGAATTGATGGAATACCAATAAAGATGTTTCAATAAACTGATACAGCACTGTAGGCACTTACTCATGTATATCAAGAAATTTGAAATCTGGAAGACAGTTACTTGCCCAACAGATTGAAAGAGATCCAAATTTTTGCCCATCCCTAAGAGAAGTGAAACCAATGGAATGTGGAAATCATCAGACAGTATCATTAATAACACATGCAAGTAAAATTTTGCTGACATTAAATCAAAAAATTTTTAGCAATATATCAATAGGGAGCTGCCAGAAATTCAAGCTGTGTTCAGAAAAGGGTGTAGAACGAGGGCAATCATTGCTAAAGTCAGATGGATCTTGGCTAAAATCAGAGAATACCAGAAAGATGTTTACTTGTGCTTTATTGACTATGCAAAGGCATTTGACTGTGTGGATCACAAACTACATTTAGCATTATAAAGTATGAGAATTCAAGAACACTTAGTTGTATATACAGACCAAAAAGCAGTCATTCAAGTAGAATAAGGGGATTCTAAGTGGTTTAAAATCAGGAAAAGTGTGCATCAGGGTTGTATCCTCCAACTATACAATTAATCCAATCTGTATGCTAAGAAAATAATCCAAGAAGCTTAACCACATGAAGTGTTCGTAGAATTAGGACTGAAGGAAAGCTCATTAACAACCTGCGATATGCAGTTGACACAACTTTATTTGCTGAAAGTGAAGAGGACTTGAGATACTTGTTGATGAAGATCAAAAAATACAATCTTCAATATGGACTACAACTCAATGTAAAGAATACAAAAATCCTTACAACTGGACCAATAAACAAATCCACAATCAATAGTCATGAAAGCAGCAGTTTAGAAATTAAATGACGTGTTGCACTGGGCAAATCTGTTGTAAAAGACCTCTTTAACATGTTAAAGGGCAAAGATATCACTTTGAGACCTAAGGTGTGCCTGACCTAAGTGATGGTATTTTCAATGGCCTCACAGACTGTGAACGCTGAACAAAGACAGCCAAAGCAAAATTGATGCACTCAAATTATGGTATTTATGAAGAATACTGAATAAACCAGGAACTTCCAGAACAAGGAACAAATGTGATTCAGAAGATGCACAGCCAGAATGTTCCTAAGAAGTAAGGATGACAACACTTCATCTCACATACTTTGGACAAGTTTATCAGAAAAAGACTGGTAAAGGGTCAATGAAAAAGTGGAAGATGGCCAATGAGCTGGAATGACAAAATGACAGCAACAATGGTGTTGTTTTACAGTGATTATGAGGCTGGCACAGGACCAGGCAAGCTGGTACATAGGGTCATTATGAGTCAAACCCTACTCTACAGCACTTAACAACAGCATATAAGCATATGGCACTGTGGGTTAAGCACTGGGCTGCTAAATGCAAGGCTGGCAGCTCAAATCCACCAGCTATCCCTTGGGAGGAAGATGAGGTTGTCTGTTCCATAAAGATTTACAGTCTCAGAAACCCTATATGAGGTTACCATTAGTTGTTATCAACTAGATGGCAGTGGGTTATAGATGCATTGAAAGTTCCTAAAACTATAGAAGAAAACATTAAAATGGTTATTTTTGGAAAGTAAGAACAGTCAAAAGAGACACTACTCTCCTGACCCTTGTGTACTCAATTTTCACCAAGAAGTATATTTAAAAAAAAAAAAAAAGTCATCATAGAAACAAGTAATATAGCATCTAGATCTTGGCTACTAAATACCATCATCAACTAAAAGGAAACTTTTAATAGAGAAATGGCTGGCTCTAAATATGGGTCAGAATAGCACAAGAAAGCTGTGAATATCTTGTTTATCATAAAGCAAAGAAGCGCTCAAAAGCCAATGAAGGTATATGAAAAAGGACAAAGAAGCTATTGTGACAAGATGATCACTGGCCAAATGTGAATGAAAAAGAGTCGCTGTGATTGAAAAAATATGGAGAAAATCAAGTTACAAAAGTTAATAAAATAGTTAATCATGAGGGAGGAAGAAGGCACACAGTGAGTGGGCTTCTGGGATACTGATGAGGCTTTATTTCTTGACCTGGAAAATAATCAATAGTTCATTCTGTAACTATTTTTAAACTATATACATTTATTATATGGACTTTTTAATATACATATTCCACAATTTTAAAACAAAATGCAATGGTTTCAGAAAAAAGAAGAGATGTCAAGTAAAAATAAGAGTCTTTGAGAAAGAAAATGACAACATTTTACCTGCAAGAGTATGTAGGTTCTCCTACTTTAAAAACACGACCACAAAGATGAGAAGGTTTGTTTGCTTGTTCAAGTTTTGAAAATCCAAATGCAGGATCTTCACCACAAAGGTACCATTCCATGGGTCCCAACAGAACATGCTGTACTAGCATGTCTTCTTTCTGTGGGAAGGGGTTGGGACCCCTGCAGTAGATTTTGGGTACATAGTGGGCTAAATGCTGGTATACTTCTCTAGTGAGGTCAGTTGCTTGAAGCCATTTCTTTAAAAGAAAAAGAAAAAAAAAAAAACTTTTAAACAATGTCAACACACTGATTATTTGAATAAACCTGTTCAAATCTCTTTTTGTACTTTGTTTTAGGTACAAAAATAATACCTCATAAATCACTTTGTTTACTGTGTATATATTCATTCTGAAAAGAAAAATATCATTTATACCTTTATTAAAATGCCAAGTATTTTAGAGTTCTTTATTTACAGTGAAAGTAAAATTAAAGTGAAATGAATTCCTCCTCCTCAAAACAATTCTTGAAGCAATCTACAGGAAAGTGACCACACAAATCATTACATAAAGACACTAGTCACTGAGTTCATCCGACTTCCTTCCTTATCCTTGCTCAAATGCTATGCTGATTGTGACCTGGATTTTCATGTCAGTTGGTCTAAAGAAAGAGGATGCAGTAGCAATAAATAACTACAGCTGTATTTCTCACTGGAGTCCTGGTGTGGCGCTGTGGATTAATGCGCCAGACTGCAAAGCCATTTGAACTGCAAGGTTGGCAGTTCAAGCTCACCAGTTGCTCCTTGGAAACTCTGTATAGGGTCGCTATGGGTCAGAACCGACTCAATGGCACTTAACAACATAACAACAACATATTTCTCATTGCTAATAAGCAAGTTGATATACCAATATTTTATGAGTATGTCAGTTCACAGGAGACTCACAGTGAAAATCTTCCCTCTTCTTCACCCCAATATCCAATATAAAATCTCATCTTTTCCACTAGGCTTCTTAAATATCTCTTGTACTTACTCAACTTACTTCTTTCTCTGAATTTCCATAGTCACTACTATCTCCACTACCTTAGTCCAAACCCCCTCATCTCTCATTGGGATTAGTGCAACAATGTCCTAACTGGTATCCCCATTAGTTTTGCCCCTGTAATCTATTTTCCAATCTTGCTACCAGAGAGATTCTTGCAAAATGTTAACCAGATAACGTCATTTGGCTTCCCATTGTATTTAGGATCAATTCCAAGCCCCTGACATGGTTTGCAAGATCTTTTGCCTTTACTCTCCAGTTTCCAACTACTGACCTTTAACATTCTTTCTCTTGACTTTATAAAGCTATTTTCTCTACTCATTCTTCAGATCTAAGTTTATGTCTCACTTTCTCTGAGATGCCTTCTCAGCCCATTACCCCATCCCAGCAATCTCTCTTTCCCATAACCTCTGGGGTCTAAAATAGAACTTGACCTCAGTGAGGAATTTAGTAACATCTGTTAACTGAGTAACTATACATATGTTTATACTACTTACTGTCACACAACACTGACATTCCAGATAGATGCTCCTTGTGGCTTTAATGAAAGCAGAGATAAAGCAGATCCAGGCCTGCAGCACGGATCAGAGCTCCGTCTCTAAAAACCAAACCAAATAATCCCTAGATAAGGCACCCTTCAAACCAACTCCCTTCTCTTTTTCCATAAGCCTTAAATTTGTTCCCTTTATTCTGTCATTTATCTCTACCTCCTCTATCAACTCTGCCTGTATGTTGTTTGTCCCATTACTTACAATAATAAGTAATTTTGGCTCTAAGCCCAGTAAAATATTTAGAATAAAAACTATGAAATAAAACGACTCATTTCTTTTAAAAGAGACTCATTTCTTTAACTCAACTGATAATGTAACTCAGATTCAATGTTTACCTATGATTACAACCTAAATCTCACTTGCATCTTGGTTTAAAAAGATGTTTAATATTATGAAAAGACAATATACGGCTTTCACTTTAACCATTTACTTGTACAATCTTTAGCTCACTTCCGGTCTTCTAAAACCTAAAGATGTCAAATATTCATAAGGTAGGAAAATGGAATTAAAAGATTTGTGGAATTTTCCACAAATTTTTTGAAGTCAATTTCTACAAATCTTCTAGCCAATTTCACATTTTACTAAAAATGTAAAATTAATAATAAGTTAAGGGGCTGCATGAAAATCTGAAACAGAACACTGAAAAAGTTTTTTGCTCCTAAAGGTAAAACTATCTTTCCCAAAGACACCTTTGTTCTAAGTACTGTATAGAAGTAGGAAAGAAATTCAGTACGCTTAAAACAGTAGCATCTTAGGGGAGACAATCGTACAGGTTCAAGTATTCCCTCCCTTTAGAGAAACAGTTCTAAATTTATAAAACACACACTTTGTTGTTGTTGTTGTTGTTGTTGTTAACTGCTGTCTAGCTGGTCCGACTCACAGCGACCCTGTATAGGGATTCCGAGGCATTTTAAATATTCACGGGAGCAGAAAGCCTCATCTTGCTCCCTCGGAGCGGCTGGCAGTCTCGAACCGCGGACCTTGTGGTTCATAGTCCAGTGCTTATCACAAAGGTAAATGTCTATTTTTTTTCACACTATCAGCGAGCCCTATTTCAAAATATGAACAAAGATAGTCAAATTATTCTAAGCGACTTATTCCTTATGAATACAAAAGTAAGCATTAAGAAAAAAATGCAGCTTTATGATCATAGAAAGTTAAGTGCTTCAAACAATTTTAATTTACAATGCACTTAGAGATTTTATTTAAAAAGCCAACTTTTATTTTTCTTATATTTTATGTTCTCCTTTTTTCCAAAAAACTTCATTTTTATAGAATTTTAGTCCAAAGAAAATAAAAGGTGATGTTTTCTAAAAGAAATTATGTTGTTTTTTAGCTCCAACAACACTGCCAGGTCAAATTTGCTCCTGTATATTTTTTTAAATGAAAAAGTTCAAAAAGTACTATCAGCTCTGACTTTAAAAGAATCCAAAACAACAAATAAATTATCTTATATAAGACATTATGAATAAAGCAAGCAAGTACTTCAATCGGAATATCAAGTTTTATTATATAACATTATAAATTATTAACAAGACTTAAAATTCAGTCCAATAAAGTCAAGTATATGTCTTCCATTTTTAAAAAGTTTAATACTATTATGAGAAAAGTTCAAAATTACCTAGTAGGTTTGGCATGTATCAAAGGCACTTTGTCTGCTTAAATTTCCACACTTAATATATACACCAAAGTGTCTTTATATGAGAATTCTATACCTGAGATATTGAAATGGCAATATTACAGGTTAACAATACAACAACAAAAAGTAGTGAGGAAAAAGCAAGCAGAAAGTACAAACTATGACTGCCATTCAGAATAGTGGTTCACACCTTTCTTAAAATCTATAGCTTTTCATATTGCTATCGTCAACATATACTAATTTTTTTTAAATGTTTTATTGTGAATTATGTGATAGTTTACATGGGAACATATACTAATTTTTAACTCTTTCTTTGGTATAAAAATTACTAAAATTTCTAATTTCTGCATTCTTATGTGTTCTTATTTCTTATACTTAACAATGCTCACACCCACGTGTGTAAAAGTAAAAAAGCATCTATTTCTGAAAAATCAGCTAATAAAAAATCCATCATGTTCCTATCCTGTTGTACATGGTGTCACATGAGTCAGGCAACTCCAGAGCAGCTAAAAACACCTTTTTTAAAGTCCTTTGATAAGAGGAAGTAAAAAAAAAAAACAAATGTCAACTCATCTCCCTAAAATAAACACTGTATCAAAAATTTTCTAGCAGTTTTTCTTATTTATCCTAAGTTTAAGCCTTAGAATCAAGGACCAAGTACAATAAACACAAAAATTAAAGAATCTCTAAAGGTCAAATTTTTATCACAATATCTAATTATAATTGTATCCTATACACAACA